AAAAAGTCATAGTATAGCATGTCGTCAAAAATGATGGAAAAAGTCATAGTATAGCATGTCGTCCAAAATGATGAAAAAAGTCATAGTATAGCATGTCGTCAAAAATGATGGAAAAAGTCATAGTATAGCATGTCATCCAAAATGATGAAAAAAGTCATAGTATAGCATGTCGTCAAAAATGATGGAAAAAGTCATAGTATAGCATGTCGTCAAAAATGATGAAAAAAGTCATAGTATAGCATGTCGTCAAAACGTGAAAATTTCATAAAAAATTCCCAATGTGCAAACTAGGGCTGTCAAAATTGCTCAAAAATGACATTCGAATATTCCTTCTAAAAATAACTCATAGGTTCGAACCATTCGAATTTTTTTTTTCGCATTATGTCCACAAGAGTTCAAACTAATACAAGGACCCCCGACCCGTCAGGCCACACCGCTCACGGAAGCGCTGCGAAGAGCCTCGAAGTGAAGCCAGTTTCCTTTCGGTGCCCATGTTAACCGTTGTCATCCGCCGCGCCGCACAGCTCCGTGGCCGGCTCTGGTCTATTTTCTGCGTGAGCCGCGAGCGAATGTGTCAAGCCGGGTGACAGAAACAACAGCTGGGAGCAGAAACGCTTGTCGACCAGCATGGAGAAATGCGCGTCTGATGTGAACGGAAGTGCTCTGGCTCGTGCAAGAATTTCGGTGCGCTGCACTTCGCAGCACCTCCACATGAGGTGTGGCCTTATGCAGTGCTTTCAGTGCAGCGGCCCAGGCCAACGCCCACTTGCAAAGAGGACAGCTGCGGTGGTTTTTTTTTTTCTTCTCCACAATCGAATATCAATTTTCACATTCGAAGGTCCAATTTTTTTTTTCAAATTCTAATTTAAATTCAAATTTAGAATATTCGTTGACAGCCCTAGTGCAAACTGGACCCTCTTTACATTATTTGAACCTCTAACACAAATGTACATATCTTAAGAAAACATGCCACGGGGTATTTCTACTTTTACTTAAATTAATGATTTCAATAGCACTCTCGGCCACAGTGTTGGACAAGTGGAAAATTGTACTTGTTTATTGTTTCTGTTATAGAGGTGAGGTAATGAGTTGGAGTAAGTGATAACAAGTGATTAACATCTTTGACTTCTTTCCTTAGGAGGAGGCTGCAGGTCTACAGGCAGCTGCAGTTGGACAGCCTGCCACAAGAAGGTAAAGTTAATCTAACTTCAGTTTGTGTATTACTTGATTTTTTTAATTGCAAGTTACGTTATTTTGTATGTGAAACTACTGCAAAACTGATCTTTTACCCACAACCATAACATCTGTTCCCATCCAGGGAGGAGAGGAGGGATTCTTCCCCACAGAGACCCTTCTTCTACCGGGTTCTACGAGCTGCCTTCCCCCTACACCTGCTCTTCTTCATGCTGCTGGTTCTGGCCTGCCTGGTGCCTCTGTCTGAAGAGAACTACAGCTGTACACTGTCCAACAACTTCGCCCGCTCCTTCTACCCCATGCTGCGCTACACCAACGGCCCTCCGCCCACATGAGCACTGCCACAACACCCAGCGAGTTCCCATGATCTGGGGAGGACTGACGGACTTAATCAAATGTGAGGTTGTAATCCTTCACAGTGTGATGGTGTACATTTAAAGACACCTTCTCCCTGCCACACAAAGAGGCACCACCCTTCAGGTGTAGAGGCCTCATCTTTTTTTTCTTTTTTTTTAAACTAAATATTATTGGTGTATTTAAATACGTATTTATTGATTGTGGAGTTCCACAGTTAAACAAAAAGAAGCCATATCACTGGTTTGTTTTAAAGTTTTGTCATTTTTATATGTAGAGTCACTGTCTAACGTCCCCACCAAACATCTCCAACACACGGTGCAAAGAGAAAAAGGTCTTGAGATTTATTTTAATACCTACAGTATATTTTCATTTTTGTACTTTCACTACAGTCTGTGGGATCTAATCTGAAGGATAAACGACAGTTCTTACCAAAGCATCCAGAAATTAAGTACACCAGCCATTTTCTACCACTGCAGCTATTTGTACTGTTTTTCATAGAAGGCAGCCTCTTGTTGTTAGCACATTTTGTACAGAAGAGTTGATTTAGAGATATTTAAGAAGAAATGATCTGTAAGATGAATTTTTTTTTTTTAAATGATGGCAGTGACTCATCTGCAGACATGCCTTTCTGTAGCCAACTGAACAACCGTAAGTTTATCAGATAATGTTCTTTATGTTACTGATGATTTTTGTATATAAGGGCAAACTACTGAGAAAGAAATAGCTAAATTATTGTTTCTGCATTTAAGTTTGAGTGTGGCACTGAAATATAATCAAAGTAATTTGATTTTACAGTTTGAGATTTGTTCCTATGAGTGTGTGAACTTTATGACCAGTGGCTTGGAGGTTCAAGTATTTTAGCAGATCGCTGAACCTAAAAGATTGGCATTATGTAATTCTTGACCACCAGGGGGCAGAAAGTGTCAAAACATACCTTGCTAAAACAACAGCAAGTACTTTCAGCCAACATGGTAGCATTACAAACTGCCTACATGAGGCCCAGGCACACCAAACCAGCATCAAGGAGCTAGTAGCGAGGAAAGCCGACTGTTCCGTTACCTCACATCGCCTGCTTCTCAGCCACAAAGCTGCACTTGAACACACCACAATGACTATAACCAACAGCCAACTCGCATGTACATTCATGTGCCTGCATGAGAGGAAATAACTCTCCATAGCAGCAGGCGGCAGTAGTCTGTATTCGTCATTCAGAAAGGGGAACTAGAAGACCAACAGGACCATGGGTGTATAAAGAGAACTGGATACAGCATTGGAGGTCGGCCCCCATTCATTTCTATAAAAGTTGCGCGTGAAGCCAAAAAAGCTCAGTGTCTGCGGTATTAAAGTACCCAGATCTCCATACTGTGGGGCCCACAGAGCAAGCACACTAGAGACTTGCGGCAGCCGAGCTGTTACCTTCAGATTTAGCGCTCTGCTAACTTGAATGGTGACAAATATTTAATCATGCGTCTCTTTTACACTTTAGAAATGAAAGTGGACCAAATGGATTAAATCCTGATCTTGAAATGAGCCACTTCACAGGGGCTGACTCTCTCAAAATAATGTATCCACTGATTTACAGCTGTCTCTTTCCTGTCATTGGGAAAAGTCTATTTGGGTCCCATGGCACCATGTGACGGACCCAAAAGTTGTAGTTATGTGGTTTGGCCATTATGAAAATTGGCTTCAAAGCCTGGGGCACTTCCAGGAGGCCTGGATAGGACGGACTCGACATGCTAGTTAGCCAGTTAGCATATTAACAACACAACCTGATGCTGACGGAACAAAGGCTATTTACTGTGTGCTAGCAAACAAACACAAACAAGTACGAACCGTTTCTGCTGAAAGATCAACAGTTTAAAAAAAAAAAATCGTACCAAAAATAGCAAGTCAATCTTATACCCTCCGGACTCTAGTCCTTTGATTGGCTGTTCAGCTCAGTGTGCGAGAAGATAAAACAGAAGTGAGGAAAACAAACAGTGATTTCACTCACCGACAGGCTCCACAGGGCGCGGCAACATTTCAACGCGCTGAAGCATCCGAACAACAGAAGACAAGGGCCAACTAGTGCCAACAGTACAGTACAGGACACAGCACAAAACCAAGGGAAAGATGCTCACCAGCATCACCCGACGGCTCGGTATGTCAGGGCCCTAACACATCCAACAGACACAGATTCAGCCAACTGATCTTTCTGCAGCTATAAAACCAAAACGGTTACCTGTAACAGGCTTAAAGTTCAGTACAGCTCTAGAGTTAGGAGTTGATCCTCAGTGGGTTTAAGTTGCAGTTCATTCATTGTAATATCAAAAGTATTATCTACGTTCTAAAGAGAGGTTCATCTGTGTTGGGATTTGATAATAAGTCCTGTGTTGAGACATTAACAACTAAATGGCTGAGTCATCTTATGTTAAATGATCTATACTTTACCCCTTTACGAAGTTTATAAGTTTAGAACTTACCCAATGCTGTCCCAAGTCCTCCGAGCCCTGTGGAGTAAAGCCCTGCAGACATGACACATCCAACAGGTTAAAACAAAACCTGACATTTAAAAGTACAGCTTTTGGTTTATATTATAAAGTAAATGAGTGATTTACCTGAACGCTGCTTTAAAACTCTTGAGTCATGCAGTTGAAGGACCAGTGTCAAAACCTCACGAGTCAGACTTGGAGTAGAACATGAATGTAAGTGATCCTTTGGGCATTTAATGTAGCTGTGTACATGCACAATCAAAGATCATTAAATGTTATTATTATGGATCCTAAATGTTAAAAAGTGTGTGTGATTTGATTTGAACTTCAGTGTTTGATCCTGATTTGTACATACTCTCAGCCTCACCTCACACTCAGCAGAACAGAAACAAACAACAAACAGTGTGTAAAGTTTGATTTATTTTGTGAACTCTTATTTATGGGATGTATAGATTGTCCTTTTTTTTGATTGACAATAAACTGTGTTTGCCATGATTTGTGGTTGTGTGTTTACGGTATCGCTGGGTTAGAGAAAGACCCAGGCTCAGAACGGACAGGCAGAAACTTACACAAGATATGAATGTGTGTGTGTGTGCGTGTGTGCGTGCATGTACAAGCTACAGACATCAGGAAAGAAAGGATAGTGAACATGTATCTGTCTATCAGCAGTAGTAGGACATTCTGGCACTGAGGCTGGATTTACATTGGCAGAAAAGTGGTACAGCTCTTGAGGAGACGTCCAAAAAGGACCTAAATGATGCGTTTGGGGGACAAATCCAATTTTGTGAAGGATCGACTCTTTCAGTTTGTTTGGCCCGATCAAAGCAAAGTGATTCAAACTTGGATGGTGCAAAATAAGTGACTGGTTTCTTCCTCCAGGAGAACAGTGGTGTGGTTAATGAGAACATAATCAAAACCACCATAGCAAATAAAACACGAGGCTTTAAACGTGTAAGAGGACAGAAAGTTTAAGCCAACAGTTTCTGGTGTCTGTGAAGCCAAGAACAACAAAACAAGCCAGTTCTGGACTCATGCTTATATTCAGCTCTTTGTTCATGTGGTATCCATTTGGGAAGTGCATAAATCAATGTGAAGGACACTGATAATTTCATCATGTTTAATTAGGTTAAATAGGGCAAAGACAAAACTTCCAATATGCAAATCTAATTCCTAAAACAAAAAGGGAATGTTCAGAGAAAATCTGTAAGTACTTCGGATTCAATAATAATAGCAACAACTAATAATATAGCCGCAAGCGTCAATCCAAGGGTTCAAGCCCTTTCAGCCAACAGAAGAAAGCAGGTTTTTAGCTTCACAAGACTGAGCAAAATACGTTCTGCTTTTTTATTTGTCTAAAGAAGTCCCACCATTACAATGTAAGCAGCATTTTAATAACAGCACAAAAAATCTCACCACTCGCCCCCTTTTATCAGAAATGAACGAAACTCGGTCTGTACGTTCAGATGTTAGTACTTAAGGTGTCCATCACGTTTAGTTTAGTTTACTTTATTTGGATAGGGACAATGCACATTAATGAACACTGATCAAACATCTCTGTAAACATGCCGGATTGTAGCAAAGCTGCTAATTCGTTTAATCTGGACTGCTCAAAGGACACTCAAGTTATGGCCTATTTCCTGCTAAATCCTACCCTTGCCAAGGTTTGTCATTAATGCCGATCTTTCATCATTTGATCGATCTTCATCGAATTCAAGTTCTATTCATTTGACCGTTTTTAAAACAATTCAGGAGGCCGAACATCCAACGGTCCAAGAGGCATTTTTGTAGAGCTATTAAGCTGGACGTGCGTGTCACATTTCAAATTATTCGGGCTCAATGAGTGAGGGGCGTAGCCTTTCCAATGTCAGCCTTACAGCTCCACCATCTGGCCCATTCACGTAAATTTTGGTAGGTATGTTCAAAACACCACTTCAGATGTCTCCATGCTGACTGGGTTGATGGTTGGTGCTGTGTGCTTGATCTGCAAACTTTCTGTTGCTGCTGTTACACAAGTTTGACCCAGTGCTGCTGCTGGTAGAGTTCCATGGGGTGTGCTAACGAGCTAATTCTTATCTCATTTGTGGTCTAAAAAACCACAGAATTGATCAAATTCAGTGCCTCACACAGCTATTTTATAAGCTACTGTAGGTGTCATATTTTCCAGTTACCATGGGAACACAGTCGGTTTCATGTTAAGTAGACTGGAAAAACGACAGACGCGGACGGGCTGATGTGTTTGAGAGGGAGAATGCGTAAGAGCAGGGCGTGCAGGGTCAAAAGTAACAAATCATTATGTGGAAGGTAATGCTGATGTTGTGGCACGAAATATAGCGTACTGTTATCTGTTCGATATATTTACATTTACCTTTTAAGAGTTTAGCCTGTCATCAACCGAAGTCTGTCAAGTTAAATTAGACTTTGTTCAGTTTTGCTGGTGGCAGGGGTTTAAGAGAAAAAATTAAACAAATTTTTGGTGAATCCGGTACAGATAATGTACTTTCTACGAGTACGTAAAATGTGTCAATATCTGCACCAGTGATGAAGGAAAATCCTTATATGGGTAGCTCAATCCTGTGTTTGTTCTGTAAGTAGTTTTCTAATAAATAATTAGTAATGAAGTAGCAACTAATTAGTTACAGGCTCAACATAACTTCTGGTTTGGTCCCACCCATTTCCAGTTTAAGCCACACCCACACCCGGTTCTAACCCCACCCATTCCAGGTACATTATACAGATAATTTAGTCTGTGGAACAGATACAGATACAGATAATGGTTTAGGTGCTCATCCAAAATGCCAAACTGAGGCTTCAGAGCAGTCCACAAACCAACAGGTGAGGTGTGTTTCCTAGATTGAATCTTTGCCACACATGCAGTGTGTAAATCCAGCCTTAGTTTAACCAGATGTACAGAGAAGAAAGCTAGTGTTAACAGTCATCGTGTTAAAAGGCCACAAACTGCTGCATCTTGACTCCACTGCAACTTGTAGTTTGTACAAAGAGAGTAGAAAAATCCTGGATGAACAGGCACAGATTAAAACACCAAAGTACACAGAAGTAGTGAAGGAGAAAAACACCACAGTGATAGAAAACACTGCCCCCTTTTTTCTTTTAGCTGTATGACCAACAACCCTTATGAGAATGGATGTGAACCGTGTTGACTACATGCACCTTTCTGTGAGTCACTGCAGATCGTAGTTTGTTCTGACGTTACACCAAGGTGAAAAACGAGATACAAATACAGTATATCAAAAAAGAGCTCGAACTGACTGGCAGAGGTTCAGCGATGTCCTCGCGAACACCGACTGTAGTGCACATTCACAAGAAATATTAATGCACGCAAAATATACATTCGATCAAAACTTTTTTTTTTTCAAAGACTAAAAACATCTCGACAGGAGAAAAAAAATGTTACCTCACAAAAGCACTTTTTAAAATCCTTTTTTTTTGTGTTTTTCCTCTTCTCTTCCTCTTCACGATCTTTGGGGGACGGAGAGCCATTAAGGGTTCAGTCTCAGTTTAGTCTCTTTTTAGTCCTGTCACCCTTATCAGGCAGTTTCCATGGCAACTCGATCAGCCATGATGTAGTCTACTGGTTCCACTGATGGACCTGCGTCTCCTGTATCCACTGACCAGTGCTCGGATGGCTGTAACTGTGAGGGAGAGTTATACAGTTATTTACCAGAGGTGAAGCAGATGAGTACATTTACTCAAGTAAATCTTTTCCGTTCAACTGCACCTACAGCATGAAAACTGTTGATGTGAGTTTTTACCTCACACCAAATTTCTTCTCTTCACTATGAAACTTTATGAAAATTACTTGAATAACTTTTACATTTACATCAAGTTGGTGGCATTACCATTTAAGTTTAACTAAAGATCAAAGTTTTCCCTCCACCGCTGTGACTTACTCGTTGCTGTCCATGTGAGCCGCCACTAAATTCTGAAAAGGAGGAGAGGACTGGAGGGGCAGAGTCTGCAGGTGTCTGTCAAGCATCTGGGATTCGGCAGGTCCATGTGGAGGCACAGTGGTGTGGTCAGCAAGGGTCTGCTCTGAACCCGGCTGCAGGTGAGACGGGGGTTGGGGAAAATGGTGCTGGTGCTGGTCAGTATAAGATTCAGAGCTTGGCGAAGATGACGGTTGACTACTGCTGCTGAACGTGCTGGAGTCCAGCATCTCCAGGAGGAGGTTGTACACGAGCACCACGTTCTTCCTCTTCATGGAGGACAGATGGTCCATGCCTTTGTTACTACAGAGGAAGAGAAGACCAAAGAGACCCTGAGCGAGCGGACAGAGTGGATCACAAGTCTCAGAGCTGTGGTTTGTGTTTCTAACTTGTGGCGTTATTTTAGTATCTCAGGAAGGATGTGGAGGAGTTTGGAAACAGCTGATACACTGTAGACGAGCTGGGTGCTCTGTAGCAATAGTAACTGACGTCTTTACAAACCAACACATTGGTGGTTTCTGTGACTGTGTAGACGTGTGTTTTGTGGAAGCTACTGTGTCCCAATATGTGGGTCAGTGTTGTTTGCAGTTGCCTCCTGCTTTGTTCTGCATCTTGGAATATTGATGTTAATTGACAAACAGTCCACCTGTTAACATTGTACATCCATCCATTTTCTAACCACTTATCCTCTTGGGGGTCACTGGGGGCTGGAGCCTATCCCAGCTGACACTGGGTGAGAGGCAGGGTTCACCCTGGACAGGTCACCAGACTATCACAGGGCTGACACACAGAGACAGACAACCATTCACACTCACACTCACGCCTACGGACAATTTAGAGTCACCAATTAACCTGCATGTCTTTGGACTGTGGGAGGAAGCTGGAGTACCTGGAGGAAACTCATATCCATGAATTTTTTATTATAAAATCTAACTTTTAAAAGGGAATTTATCAACCTGAGAGGTTTCCTTATTAACTAGAAAAGTGCACTCAGAGTCCAGAGCTCCGCCAGGCAGCCACCCCAGCTGACCACAGACAATTTCTGCACCATTGAGACGTCCTTGAGCATACAATCACATATGTGCACACCAATTATTAGGCTGATTGGTCCAGTTCTTTGCAAGATTAGCTATGGACAGACAAACACACTCACACACCTGCATCCATGTGCGCACACCAACACATGCACAAACACAACCAAACACACGATCCCCTCCTGGCATAATCAAGTGAAAACATTATATTTAAGAATGAAAATCCCCCCAAAATTAGATACAGATCTGACAGGATGGTACGCTCCTTCGTGGTCTCCAAATTTTAACCCTTTGGGCTCATAAAAGCTTCTAAAACCAATTCCATAATAATTCCCAAAATGAATATTATTTGTCTTGTCTGTATAGCTTCATAAAGCTGAATTATTTATTTTTTAATTAGTGTTTAAGTGTCACATTTCTCTTTAACTTAAGCTAAAAAACACACTGACTACATTTCTTGTATGAAAAGTTCAGTATAAATAAAGTTTTAGTACCATCACTATCAACTAGGTAGCAGCCTGTGCATGTCCAACACAAATTTCCTTCGGGACTAAATAAATGAATCTTGAATCTCGAATCTTGAATCTTGAACTGCAACAAGGATGTTTTTATTGGCTTTTTGGAAAGTCTAAAATGTCGTGTCTGTATGTGATTAATTAAATCTGTTGAGCACTGAGGTACGAATGCATTTGTGAGAGTGAACTAATAAAACAGATATAAAGCTGGCCAGTGTTTAAACGTCTCAAAGTATGCATGCTTTTTCGATTCCCCCCTCTGGACTCTGCTGCGGATTGACTGTTTCCTGCCGTCTCTGGCTGTACCTGACGTGGCGGATGTGGGAGAGCAGCATGGTGAGGTGTCCAAGGCGCAGAGTCTGCTGCTGGGTCGACAGGCCCAGTTTGGAAATGGCCCAGACCAGAGCATCGATCACGGAGTCCAGCAAACGCAGCAGCTTGTTCCTGCTCTCCAGCTCCTCGGCTGTCTGGGGGGGGCTCGTACACAGATCTGCAACACACAGCACAGCAACATTTTAGCAGACTCACACGTTTGTCATTTTTACATCAGAGGTAGAGAGCGAGGAGGAGCGCACACCAAGGTGGGAGAGTTGCTGACCGTTGACGAAAAAATACAAATTTGAAAAAGATGTCAGGCGCACACTCTAAGACTCGATGCAAAAATATTTTCTGTTATTCAAGTACCAACGTTTCAACTAGACCGTCTTCATCAGGGCAAAACCATTAACGATTCAGGACTCCCTACTGTGTGATCTGACACGAACTTTTAATGGACTTAATGAACTGAAAAACACACAGTTGAGTACAAGCACAGCAGTTTCAACAGCTTTTAACCTGCACTGACATGTTACCTGTTCCTATAGTTAAGATCTGACATAATGGCAGGATATCTCCTCTTAGTACTCTAATATTTACATCTCGCCCAGTGTCAGCTGGGATAAGCTCCAGCCCCCCTGCAACCCCTGATGGGATAAGCGGTTATGGAAAATGAATGAATGAATGCAGGCACGTATGCAGCATTATTTCTCCTGTTAAAAACACTAGGTAAAGGGTTGGTGTTTCATCCGTTTTTTGTTTTCCACCTGGTAAATTAGGATAAACAGGTTTTTTATTTTCGTTTCTGGTTTTCTTTAGGTCAGATTAGTAACGTTTACAAGCCCTTCGCCTTTGTAGTCTGACTCACGTTTTTGTTTGTACAAAATGTTCACACTCCGTTAATAAATAACTTTATTTTGCTGAAAAGAAGAAAAGAAAATCTGGTTTATTGTCGCCTCCCTTTCTCTTTACAAGCTGGGTTGTAACATGCTCAAACGACTTATCTGCTATCATAAAATCCTGTTGTCTGTTTGCTTTCAAACCACAGAGTCCTCTCGGATTCGTAGTTTGGTCTGGGGTTCACATGTTGAGTCGGCCCCAAAAAAAAAAAGCCTACGGGGCCGACGTGGGTCATCAGTGCGTGACACACACGAGGGTGGCAGATGCTCACCAATGGCCCAGTGCGGGTCCAGGGTTCCACTGACAGCTTTCACACCAGCCCAAATGAACTGCACTACCATGGCCAACAGACGTTTCGTTTGAACCAAACTAAAACTGGTTAAATGTGAAAGCACAATTAGACACATCAGAACCAACAGACTTCACCGCTCAGCTAATATCTCCATCTTTCACAGCAGGACAAAGTTAGAGAATCAATGACGTTCTCCAAATCCAAATTCAGTTTACACTTAAGAATGGCCTTTATTTTAATCAACACGGCTGTTTTCGTTCATCTTCCAAACACTGCACTTAGCTACAGGTTTGACTTTCAATAAAACACTTGTGTATCCACAGGTAGAGAAGTCCACAGGTTTGACTGGCAGCTACCGTCTTTGACTAAACATGGTTAATCAAAGTAAAGACAGTATTTTTTATACTCTGGGTCAAAGTGACAACTCTTAACAGTAACCAGAAACTTAAATTGTGCTTGCTGACATCTTCCTGTCTGGCTCTGGACGCCGTGCATGTGATAAGACTGAAAACCGAAAGATTATAAATGGTACAACCCCATCTGTGTGTCAATCCAAGCTGTGACATTCACACAACCAACAAACAATCACATGCTAACAGCTGTATTTCTTTAATTTAATAACAGCGACCACCACTTGGACACTTCAGATGAAAGACTAAAGGGCAGCAGAAAGTTTAAGCTGTCCACCCACCAGGACAGACTGAGCTGTTGAGCCACAACCTTCCATCTGTCCAAATACATAAATCCTTAAATTCCTCCCTGTTCTCTTTGACTTTCAAACTCGATTTCACTTCTTTCACAATCTGTTCTTTTTTTTACCCCAGCTGCAGAGGAGCAGAGTCAACAGAGAGAACAGAGTCTGGCAGGGACCCTGTGTGCGTCTGTGAGGGAGGAACTGTGTTAAACTCTGTTAGGACATGCAGAGAGGTCGCTCACCTCAGTGAAACCTGTACAGTGATCACGGGCGGTGCTGGGAGAGGACGCAGTGACCGCCAGGAACACGTGAAAGGTTAAAAAACAAAAGCGTTGCACCAATAAAGTCCATCTCCACAGGTCATTTCATCCAAAGCCTTCTTCAAACGAGCCGAAAGTTCTGCCAATCTGACTTCTGTGGGAGGATCACCTAGACTTTTAATAAAACCATATCCAAGGACTCGTGTAGAGAAACCCTGGAGCACCAAACTTGGTTGCAAAATGGTTTTTATTATGAGGTTCTCCATTACTTACACTAGTCTTTAACTAACTGAAAAAGGAATATGAAGGCTTTGTATCAGTGTATCAACCACCATGGTCATTTAAATCTAACATGTTGATGTAATGCCACCTGTAAGCAATGCAGGGTTTCCCACAAATAAATTTATTTGTGGATTTTAAAGTGGGGTGTCAAAAAGAGGCATAACTTCTTTCAGTGTCTTACAACCAAATCTGTGACAACTGTATACAATCTGAAATCCTTTTTGTCTTCTTTTCCTCAAGCCCAGCTCCGACCAAAGATTCACAACGAGACAAGATGAAACAGGCAACTTCTTGCAATGCACTGTTCTACAACGTTCTAAAAACCTGCCTGTTCACACCAATGCAACTAAATGAGATGGTGTATCATCTCTATGCAACAACTCTCTGTACTTCGGTTCTGATTTGCAGCTTTTCAGGTTTATTTTATGGCTGAATATAATTTGTAGCTTCTTAAAATATGAATGAGGATAGTGATAGTGAGATACTGGCTACAGCTGCATTTGTAGTGATGAAACAGTGGAAAACAGAAACAAAACGAGCATCAGATGGACTGTGTTCATAATAAATACACCACAATAATATAAATAACCAGCGCCAATTACTTAGTCAGTGAGTCAGTTAAGGCGAGTTCACATTACACAACTGGCCGACCAGTCTTGAGTCGCAGAGACTATTGTAATCTTTCGAGTGTTCATACTTGGCAACGTGTGTTTCTGTCAACGGGAATCTCGCCAACTGTGTTACGACCTGTGTGCACACCACAAGATATCTCCACTGAACTCTCACCAACAGAGCCCAGATTATGCAGTGATGTCACCAAACTAGGTTTTGTCACGCCTGAACAAAACAGGATATTATGAAGTTCCCTGGTGCTAAACTTTACTTGTCAACAGGGATGTCCGACAGCTTGGAGGCGTGCAGGTCATTTGCGCCCTGCTCTACTGTGGACGCTGCCATTGTTGTTGTTGCTTGCCGGCTCGTCCTCTTCACATTTCTTTCATCCTCCTGCGTGCTGCTCTTTGTCAGTCGTGTCAGTCGTCTCAAGTTTTCTAGCATGCCAGATATCCAGTCCCAGTCGCAGACGAGGGGGCAACTTGCTCGTAGGCTTGTTCACACATGAGGACTCGTAGTGGCAGACTATCTGCCGACTCACCTCTGACCAAAGGTGGCTTTCAAGATCCTCTGCGACGTCAAAATCAGGGTGAAAATCGTGTAATGTGAACTAGGCTTTAGTCACCATCTGACACCGGCACACCATGAGGACAGAAACACAGGGCTTAGCGGGGACAGAGCACCTGCCACAGCAAGCAAACGCAGTGTGTTTGCTTGCTGTGGCAGGTGCTCTGTCCCCGCCGTCATTTTGACTTGACCAGCAGACTTCACTACAAGCCGACTGGCTGTAGAAACAGGTGACGTGCCTTACGTTTTAAAACCAGCCACCAGTGATTTGACCAGCAGAGTTGCAGGTGACACCATCAGCCGAGCTCAGACCGGCCAGTTCACACCGCTGCAACTTTTCTCTGCAACGTTCTTAAATGGTTTCTTTTCATTGCGAATCTTTGGTCTGAACTGGGCTTCAGAGGTTGAGGAGTTATGAGTAAAAATGTTGTGTGTTGCATCAAAGGCAATATGGTGGGGCCATCTGCAGCCCAGCTTTGTAGTTTATGGCTTAACTTTGCACCACATCTATAAGACATTAGTTGAATAAGACAATCAAATGGAAACAACTTTAAACTAAATAATGATGTTCAGTCTGTTTTTTTTCCTGCTCAGATCTGTTCCATCATGTGGGTCAGATATGTAACAGGTGTCATTGACCCACTCAGTTCCAGATCACAATGTCAGCAACCACAGCCACGCAGAGCGACACACTTATCAGGGTTATGTAAGAACCAAAAACACATTCTGATACATGGATTGGAGAGGCTCGCTGCAAACACACTCATTTGTCACAGGGGAAAAAAAAGTGAAGACCGCGGTTTGTCTGTGTCAGCAAAACTCACTGTAGTTAAGGAGAATCATTGCCTTCAGACAGACGTACTCCTCCCTCTGAAGCTTCAGCTCACGAAACCGAGAGGTGGCTGCCAGCAGCATGTCGAAAATCTCCACGATGCCCTCCACACACTGTCCCTCCTCCCTGCGGAGACACAGATGGAGACAGAGGGTGAAACTGAGAACATAGGAAAGTCAGAGAGAAGGGATGACATTAACAAAAGAGAAAAGCAGCAGAGAGATTGTGAAAAGAGGAGGAAAACTAAATGATAAAACACAGAAGGGGAAGAGAGACGAAGAGAGGAGCCATCGCCAGAAGACAAAGAGAGAATATGTGATTTAGTTTTGGCAATAATGTAACTGTAATGTGACGTTTATGCCAATATGATTTATCTAAATTTGACTGACAAGAGAACATGGAAGGAAAAGTGGAAGAAAGATGAAGAGGTAGGGGAAACAAAAATTTAAAAACAGATGGAAAGAAAAAGAAAAAAGGACAAACAAGAGAAGACAGAGACAGACGAGAGAAAGATTGGGGCTGGGCAATAAAACAATCTCGAAATGGGATTACAATAAAATGCATGTCGATGACGATGACAAACTATAGTTAACAGACAGCTGTCAGTCAATCTGCAGCATTTGGGATGCACGTCATTGTATTTTTCACTGCCAAGTTTGTGCCAAGGCGAGTGAGCCAAGGTGAGGACATGTAAATAGTAATAATAATTCCTTTCACTTCACTGTTTCAACTGCTGGATGTGAATTCATAGTCCTGAAACTAGGTTATCATACTAGCATCTAAAACAATACCTGATCCAGCTCAACAACTTCCTTGTTGGCAGGTGTGTTATCACACATGATAACACTGCAGCTTATTAGTTGGCACAGAGAGCAAACTAACTGTCAAAGTGAACCTAAGTGCTCTGATACTGATGTTTTTTACCATTGAACAGCACATTAAATATGCAAAATGAACTCTGAGGATCTGGATCTGATCACTGGCGTTACAACTGTGATGCAAATTTATGCGGTGTACAGGCGCTGGATGAATCAACTTTACTCAGATTCCTCACATCAAGTGTTGATTGGTTACAACATTTACTATCGTCCTGTTATCTTCAAAACTTTGCACCTTCAACTTGACAAATTCTGTTTCAGAGACACCAACAGCAAACGGTTTCCAACTATGCAGTTCACAATGTGGTGACTTCTCTCTATAACACATTTTTGTCCTTTGAGTCTTAAATACAAACTGGCTGAAAAGGAAAAGAGTAATTTAGTATAAAACCATGCGGATAATTTAGTAAAATAGTGATGGAGAAAAAAGATCCAAAGGGCACAAGGGGAGTTGATTATAGACAAAAAAATCTGTTTTCTGTGTTTGTTTGAGCCTCTTGTTGTGTTAAGTAAACGGATTAGCATCCAGGATGTTTTCCTGGACTGTCCAAGGAGAAAGGGCTACCACAGGCTGACAGGGACCACTCAACAGAGAAAAATAAGGCTGTGTTATGAAAACACATCAAGGTTAACCTAAGTCTATAGTGATAGTTTCCGTGGCAGTGGGGGAAGAAAGGTCAACACTAAACTCGAGGAAGAAAGACTTCCTACTGTCCTCACAGAAATGTAATCTCATTATCTCAGTCTACTTTCTCTTTGTCACACCAGGAACAGGCTGCATTATTCTGTATTTTTCTTTTTGTTAAAAGACCAAACCCAACAATGGATGTAACAAGTAGAGCCAGATATATCTTACAGGGCTCTACTAGTGTCCACATAAGATGAAAAGCGGTTACCCACGTCTGTCTGCAGGTTAATTATGCCACCCTTCAGTTTAGTAGTAGTATCAGCATTATGTTGTGCCACAGCAAAGCTAATGAGTTTTTAATTTGGCAATTACCACTGGTAAGGCCACCCTGACCCATGATGGTGTTGCTGTTTAAACATCGTGCCCCCTTTCTGACCCCCCCCCCCTGAACTGTAGGGCGGCTAGCTATCTAGTGAAGACTGGAGGGTGGGCAGAGGGCACCATGTTTCCATATGCTGATGCACCAAATTGGCTGTCTGTCGGCAAAGCCAATAGAAAATGACATTACAGGCGAAACATAGACAAAACAAGACAATAAAGTGTAACCACCTCTAAATGGATAATGCTTCGATATGCGGCGATAAGGCTCACTGAGTCAATGGAGCACCAAACGAAAGGTCTCGGAATTCATGTCATTTTGCTTTTTTTTTTTTTTTCTCCTAAAACTTTACCTGGTTTATAGTCATCAGGCTATCAAAAGCAAAACTAACCAGAACTGACATCCCTACCATTAACACACTTTTTGGTTTACTCTGCCTCAATCCCTCATACGCTATCCTGTTGCCCCAAAAACTCACTGGAGCACCAAATGTGGATTAATCCACAACTGTAAATACTCTCCTAAAAAATGCACAATATCCTCCTGTTTAGAAAATTACTGACCTTTATTAAAACATAAACTTTGTATTTGTTCTCTGTATTTAAAGCTTTTAATCTTCAGGAGGAACCGGTGGGCTTAGGGCTGAGAGCACACACAGGAAGCCAGACAGCTTTGAGAGACACACTAACGTTGTTGGTTTGGGTCCAGCTGTTGGATTTGTTGACAATAAGAAAATTATACCACAACAGCAAACATAAAAACTTATAAAATGTAAAGGAATATATATAAAAAACATGTCACCATCATAGACAATGCACTCACACAAAGACAGCATGTCATGTGTGTTTGTGTATGTTTGATTCGGTCATGCACACCTTTCTGCAAAATGCATTAACTACAGTTACAGCCAATAATCTGAGCTTGACTTCCTGTCACCAGTCCTCTGCACTTTGAACACCACAATGAACATGATGATTTAATGTGTCATTAACTGGTACTGCTGACAAATTACAGGATCACAGGTTTACTAGGATTCGTAAGGAATCCACAGCGCTGGTAAAGTGGCAGCCTAATTACAGCATGTTTGCCCTGAATACAAAGGGTGAGGTGAAGTGCCAGAAGCTGCCAACCCTTGTTTGGCCAAAGTTGAAGGTCACTGTGGAAAGGAACAGGGAGTGATAAAATACAAGAAAAGAGTTGGCAGCTCAGGAGAATCAAAGATATATCTGCAACATGTGTTGCTGATATCTTCACTGTTTCAAGGTCTGAGTAAACTCCCTGCTTATTGTGTGATGTCAATGCATCAGACTGTGACAACGTCGGGAGACTGTACTGTAACCACCATCACTGTTATGGAAAACATGGCGGCTGCACATGGGACAGTTCAAGTGCCATAAAATCTCAAATAAAGGGATTTCCAACACAGTAATGTGTGGAGGAAGTACTGCATAATCTAATTTAAAGGGACAGTTCGCCACAAAATCAAAAAATACATATTTCCCCTCTTACCTGTAGTGCTGTTTATCGGTCTAGATTGTTTTGGTGTGATTTGCTGAGTGTTGTAGATGTCGGCTGTAGAGATATCTGCCTTCTCTCCAATGCAATGTAACAAGATGGCACTCTGCTTGTGGTTCTCAAAGTACCAAAAGAATACATTTGAAAAACTCAACAGCAATGTCTCTTTCCAGAAATCTTGACCTGGTGACTCAAGATAATCCACAGACATTGTTGTGAGCACTTTCATGTCGGAACTATTTTCTTTCCAGCAAACTTAATGCACCAGCCAAATCATGGTGCAGAAGGAAGTGTACATCTACTCATGTATTAAAGTTCTCCTGTTCATGGCAAACATTAATGGCGTCCTCCTCAGCAGAGCTGTAACGTTAGCTAGCTCAGTGGTGCTCGGTGAGCTAGCAGTAGATGTATGCTTCCTTCTGCACAGTGATTCAGTTGGTGGGTGTAGTTCGGTAGAAAGAAAATAGTTCCTACATGAAACTGCTCACAACAAGGGGTCCGTCCCAAGTCTCTTAAATTACTGCTAGTTATCTTACCTAGCCGACTTTGCTAGCTGTTTAGCCCCTCCCACCTAGGAAAAAATGCGAGGAGCTAGCACTAGGAGTGATGAGCGAGCATTGTCAGTTTAAGAGACATGAGACGTCCTTTCCACTGAAGCGTCACGTGAAGCGACGTCCATTCCTGATGACTTCGGCACCTCTGGATCTGCTCCTTAATGCTGCCTGCGTCTGTCGTTACTATGGGTACATCCCAAGTCTCATTATATTTGCTGACCAAAACAGTAGCCCCCACCCCCCGCCGTCATGACTCTGGTCACACACTTTTGCATGTAGCAGCTGCACATCACCGACAGTCCGATGAACAACACAACGGATTGTGACTGAAATAAACCTAATTGCAACATAACAATCTTGCATGAAATATCATGACTCTCTGAAGTAAGTACGTGAATTACAGCGATTCATTGCAAAGAACGCATGTAACGGGTACTTACTCTTGTACTGTTTCTCCGCCATCTCGTTCAAATGTGCCAGATGTAGAGGGCGGGTATTTATACATCATGGCATTCAGCTGAAAAACTCTTACGGATAGGAAGCTCTCGACCATCCTAGCTCGTAGCTGCTTAAAGCTTGCTGCTAGCTCCTAGCGCTAGCTCCTCGCTGTACAAATAAGAGACTTGGGACGGCCTAGAAGATGGCGGACCTCGAACGACTTCCGGTTCAAGCGAAGAGCTAGCAGTAGCACTATAAAATAAGAGACTTGGGACAGACCCAAGGTCTGTGGATTATCTTGAGCAGTGGTTCCCAACTGGTGGGTCGCAGTCCAAAAGTGGGACCTGGGTCCATCCTGAATGGATCACAATTGACTCACAAATGTGTCAAGTTAGTAAAAAAAAAAAACAACACACTTTATTTTGAAGTACAATGAATTTCCAGCACAGAGCTTTTATTTTAAAGTGCCGTTTCCTGCTGTAGAGTGAGTGAACGACAGACAGCTACGTAACAGAGGCCGCAAACTAGTTCAACGACACTGTGTGGACCTTTAACTAGAAACAAAGACGAAATCTGGACCCTGTGGCTGGATCAATTGGGTACCACTGATCTAGAGTAACTGGGTCATGATTTGTGTAAAGAGACATTGCTGTTGAGTTTTCCATATCTATTTTTTTTTTTTTTTTTGGCTCTTCGAGCACCACAAGCTGAGTGCCACCCAGTTCCATTATATTGGAGAGAAAGCAGACAGAGACCAACTGTGTGATCCTTTAAAGTCAAGCTTAAGACCCACCTGTTCTCCCAGGCCTTACGAATAGTTAGTAGTCAGGTTTCCATAATGCCTTTTGAAATGCTAAAGTACTTAAAAAAGGAAGAAGAGCAAAGCTAACTAATAGAAACACTTCAACCCCCAGGTGACGTGAAGTATTCCTTTAAGCCCTGGTACGCAATATAAATGTTACTGTAGTTCACTGGTCTACCTGTCCCATCTCAGCCAAGCAGATCACTGGTAAAAGGACTAACTTCATATGTTCAAAACATACTTCACATTATGTTTAGGAAAACAATAAAGTAGTACTCGGTAACGTCACAAATAGCTTTGCTTTACCAATGCTATGACACAAATAGGGCTGCCACGATTAGTCGACTAATCGATGACTAATCGACTATCAAAAAAATCGGTGACTATTTTAGTAGTCGACTAATCGGTTTGAGTCATTTTTCATAGAAAAATACTATAAAAGTACCCTAAAATACTCTTATTGCAGCTTCTTATGTTCAAATATTGGCAGCTTCACACACTCTCCCATGACGGTGAACTAAAACCCTTTGGCGTGAGTACGAAACAAGACATTAGATGACATAATTTTGGGGTTTGGAAGTAACAGACCAACATTTTTCAATATTTTAACACATTTTTTAATAAAATGATTAGTCGACTAATTGAAGAAATAATCGACAGATTAGTCTACAATGAAAATAATCGTTAGTTGCAGCCCTAGACACAAACAGAGAAATCAAACAGAACTATCTTGCTTGTTCAGCACATTCATTTGCAAAACAACCCAAGGACTCATTAAAGCTGGCAGACATCCTGTACAGGGACATGAAGAAACACACTGCCTGCAAAAGTTAACAACCCTTAGCCTGTGGGAGTAGAAGTCAGAGGAGCCTGTCTCACAGAGACATTACCCAGTGATATCAGACCTGCGCACTGGCCCGTGAACAACTTCATGAAAACACTTAAAGCCATCCAACAAATCAGCTACTTGCGCATTAGACTGCTGATGACAGAAGTATGAAAGCTGCCAAACCGGCTAACCTGCTGAGTTTGAAGTCTGGAGAGAAGATGAGTTTTCCAGGATGATCCACCGACCTCCACATCAGGCCCAACATCAGGATATCCAGCCAGCAGCACTTCAGAAGGTGGATCTGGTCAGCTAGACACAGCTCTACGAAGCCTGAGGACACAGCACACAGAGAAAAACATAACATAAATGACATCATATCCATACTCTGCCTGGATTCTGAAGTGCTTTAAGTAGCTGGGACATATTTACACTTTGCATTTAAGGCCAAATTCACCTGTTGTTAAGATATAAAATGTTAAGATATATAAAAAGAGACAAACCAAATTCCAAATCAAAGTATGATTTGAGATGATAAACTATACAAGGAACTAAAATCTAACATTGCTCCAATAACTGTGCACACATTAGATCTGTGGTTTTAAGTAATCAAAAAGAATAAGATTCAAAATGAGGCAAATATTTTAAGATGAGTAGCTTATGACAGAAATTTGAAACCTGCAAAATACAATCAAGGATTTAAGCAATGGGGAGTAAAAGGAATAACAGCTGGGTGTGTTTTGGAAAAGGATGTAAGAATCAAATCAGATTCTTCCAAGGAGGTGAATGGTGCTATCGAAATAATAATTAAAGCATATCAGGAAAGTAACACAAGAATAATTTCGGCATTATATCAAGGACAGAACACGAATGAAAAACATTCAACTAAATATATCATGAATGTGAAATGGGAGAAAGAACTCAATGTAGAAATTTCAGCGGAAGATTGGCAGAAAATGTGGAAGATAGACCATTCAACTACTGATTCATGAACCTGGAGGGAATTCTCATGGAAGAGTCTGATTCGTTTTTTTATTACACCAAAACTGAAAAGTAAGCATGTTGGCGAGTGCGGGTCTTCTAATGTAGACCACGTGTGTTTTTTGGAAATGTCAGAAACTAACTGTAATTATTGGAAATGTTATGTAAAGAGCTTCAGCATACACTAAGATATGAGGTTCCTACCTGTTGTTTGGTGCTTTACCTATGTAAATATTCTGAAGATGTTTTTGCTAGTGATAGATATTTGATGACGTAGATGATTTGTCTCACCCAGCAGCTAAGTTTAAAAGTATTTTAAGATAAGTGTCAAACTAAGTTAGTCTACATACAGACAGATGTTATCTGAGCTTATTAGTAACAATTCACTATCAGCTGAACTAGCGTGCTGTCCTTGTGTAAGACATAACGTCAGTGTCGGTGGATGAGAGACTGTGGGCGAAGCACACTGAATATCACTGTCTACATGTTTATGCTTACTGAACACATGTATTGATAAAGTATTGGCTTTTTACTCGCTAAGGGTTAATGTCACTTACAGTAACGAGTATAGCTGCCGTCAACTCGCTGTCATTTTCGAGTTATCTTCACTTTGTTTCTACCGGGGCCGCTTGGTTGTTCACCAGTTACCGTATCGGTGTGTGTGTGTGTTTGTGTGTCGATGTGGAGGTGTTCAGCGGTGGCACAAACAAACCAATACCGTTAGCGCTTATCAATACTACGGTCTCTGATAATTTAGCCCCGGGGCTAATTTAGTACTGGGTTTCTGTATCCATCCTTAATCAAAACACAAACGAAGTGAAGCTTGTAGAAATTAAATAAAGTTTGCAGCGGCTGCCTGTGCCAGGAAGTGCAGAACGCTGCAAGTGTGTGTACCACCAATCAGCGTTCTTCAGCAAGAATTCCAGGTAATCTGAAAAGTCCAACCCCCCTACTAGGTACTTTTTTCAGGGAAAGTTTGGGGTTGAGGGAAAGGTTTTTACCCTGGTGGAAACACGCCGAGGCTTTTCAAAACCTCGGGTAAATGAAAAAAGTTCCTACAGTGGAAAAGGAACTATACTGAGACTACAAGAAGCACCACTAGAAAGAAAATGGAAGAAATAGGCTCTATACAAGAGTCAAAAAGACACTAGACTGGAATAATAATCAATAGATACACTAATCATTAAGACTGTAAAAATGTGTATTTATCCAGGCAGTTTGTGTTCCATTGGTCCTTCTCATTTTTCAGTAATTTTATTATTTTATCATACTGTTGTAACTGACATGTCAATGACACAAAACAGTTTTAATAAAGATTTAAGTGGAAAAAAAAAGACTTGGTATACAGTGTTCTGTATCGCCTACCTGAACACATAAAGATCACATTCCTATCGGTCTTCTCATTTATTGGCTGTTAAAAAAGTATGTGAAGTTAAAAAGTGTTTGTTAAAACCACATCCATCCATCATTTCTTTATAAGTTTTAGACATTAACAGAAATGCCCTAATCTCAGACAGCACTGCTGTAGCAGCTAACTGTGACAATGACATCACTTTGCAGCAACTATAAATTTAGCTTGACGGCACCTCGCTCACCTGTCAGTGCTTTCTTGGATCTTTTATAAATCCGACAATGCACACTCATTTTCACTTCTGTCTGAGTGAAGAAAAAAAAGTCAGGGAGTACGGTCTCTATTCAAAAAAGTGAGTCTTTGTGATCCCCTCACATTAACACCTCTCCTGGGGAGTTACCTGCTGAGCCGAACACTGGCTGAGAGGAGGAGAGCAGAGGAAAGGAGAGTAAGACATATAAAAAGGGATATGAACGTGAGGGAAGGGAACCAGGATCAGTCAAGAAATAAAGACATTCACGACTTTAGATGGAAAAGGTTAGCGATTATATTCTATGATTAGTCTCTGTTTATCCGTGCAGCCATTATCTCATTTGTTTGTTTATCACACGTATCATCTGACACACTGACATGAATGATGGGTGGAGGTTGTGTTTACTGTTGCCTCAGCTTTGTTTTTACCTTTATAACCCTCATTCCTGTTTTCTGGTTCTCAGCAAGCCTGACTTCCACACACTGTTGATGGTGACAGAGCCAAAGTGCTTCCACTGACCTAGAATTGTGACCAGTGAACACATGGCCCTGATGTTTACCCTGACCTTAACCTTGACACGGCTCTTTTACTTAGCAAAGCCACACAGAGTGTCTCCAGTCTTGTTGTAAACTGGTCTTAATTTAAAGTTCCTCACTGAAGCCCAAGTCTATACTGAGACTAAATTAAAGCTCTTTTTTAAATAGGAATTGTGCAAATTTGCAGGAAAGCCTTCTTTCAGCATTGGCAGTATAAAAACAAAATCGGGGAGTGCAGCAAAATGACGCCTGCCTACTTTTATTCATACAGAATGCTCCTTTCTTGGGGCAATGGGGGGCGTGAGCAAGTAACAAAACGTGTGCTCAGTGTGTGACATAAACAGTGACGTACTCCGAGGGAAGCCGCGACTGACGATTCTCTCACAAGTCAGCCCGTCCTTCACCATCCCCGTCATTTGATGGTTAATGGCCCCTTCGCTTGCGAGGACAAGGAGGGCGCGCAATTCCTTGTCTCCTCAGTTGCTCATTTTTACAGTGTCTTTCAGGTTTCTGTTTCCCTCTTGCTACTAGCTGCTCATTCCTGCTATCAGCTGTTTCCTGTTAGTCCACCGCCAGTGGGTTGCACATGCAGCGTCATCAACAGCCCCTCCCGTGGCGGAAGGCGCCTCGTTCTTTTTACCATAAAGGTTCCGCCAATATGTTCTGCATTTATCTTGTTTTAGATATCTAACGTATTTCATAAAGAAATTTAATCTATAAAAAAGTAAAAATCAGTTGAACAAAAACATATAAAGTTACTTTGTGTAATAAATGTATATCAAAATAAGTATGATTTAAAAAGTGAAAATATATTATCATAGCTTGGAAGAGGCTCGGCTCTGTAGTCATTAAAATTGAACTTGACAGTTTGGGTCTTACCAGGGATCTTTTTCGCCCAGCTGATCATGAGAACCAGCTCCTTGTCTGCCAGGTTGGTGAGGGACATCATCATGGTGGACTCAGTGAAGGGCTTCTGCATGTCCTCCATGAGGTAGATCTCTGGAGGCTCCGCCTCTATGATGCGGGAGATGAACTCCTCTGGGCTCATGACCAAATTGTGTGCATGGCTGGCCTGAGGGAGAGGGCCGAGTGGGGCCTCCAGGTGGTGATGTCGCTGAGCCTGAGATCCTGGCCCCACTCTGGCCAAACCCTTGCCTGTGAGCTCCCGATGCTGGAGTCCACCACGGCGGTGTCGGGCTCCTCGATAGCTGCAGCGTTCACGCCTTACACCTGGAGGATGAAGACGGCAAGAGAATGGACTGTCACATTAGCTGTGATGTTAGTGATGACTTCTTATTCTCTTTATTTATTGCACTAAAAAAGCTAGGAGAGCTTAATGAACAAAGCAAACTTGACACTCAAGCACATATCCCACCTGAAACTGCTTTAAATATATTGTCATATACCGTATACCAGACGTTGCGCTAGACTTTTTCGTCGTCGGTCATTTTGACCGACAGGGTCAAAAAAATCTGGTCATAATCTATTCTTACCGGTCGTTTTAATTTTCGTTTTTAAATGATAATAAAGATATTCAAAGACATTTAGTTTTCATTCGTTCGTTTTTAATAAATCCAACAAGCAAGTTATAAGGTGTGCATTAATAAGGACATGAACGAAAAGATAAACAGACATCCACACACCCGTGCCATTAGGCTTCGCCCTGGACACACCGGACGGCACTAATGCGTCCGGTGTGTCCAGGGTGTTATGTAGTTATGCCTGTAGGCTTGGTGACATTGTAATGAAGTGATTATGGTATTGAAAAATGTGTTCGGTTATGCACTGTTGTGTTTTTTAAATTATAAACACGGTATTTTCTCCTCGCGTTCCACAGTGCGTGCTGTTGTTATTTTATTTTGAAAACTGGCCGGATTCTCTCGTCTTTTCTGTGTCCGACTTCCTGTTTGGTACGATCCGCTCGATCCAGCTTGACAGAAACGTTCGCGGCTCGCGTGAAAAATAGACCAGACGCCAAACTGAAGCGCTGCCTCCGCGGGCTCTGCTCAGCGGCCTGTGTGGACAGTCAGATAGGTTAACATGGGTACCGATTGAAAACTGCCTCCACTGCTGGGTGCTGCGCCTCGGTTCCGCGTCCGGTGTGTCCAGGGCGTTATGTCAACAACGCTACATGAAGCAGATGAATGACTTTTTCTCTGCAGTGTGAAAACGGCAGCCACTTAAACTACTGACTGTGCACTCCACCGCCAAGTGGGCAGGGGTGGTAATTGCAACCGGTCAAAATGATCGACGGCCTTCAGGTTTTCCGGTCATTGTTGTAAAAAACCGGTCAATGACCGAGAATATCCGGTTAACGCGACCCCTGCCATATACCCTGGTGAAATGTCAGGGAGGTATGACCGCTAGAGCATAGCAGAGTCTGTACTTATGAGCAGAACCTCCGATAGCTGGTTTGGTTGTATTACTTGGACAAGAAGTGTTTAAGTGTGGAAATAACAAACCAGGGTCAGACCAGATTTAAAATATAATGCGCTCAATGTGTCATAACATAAAATATGTCACAAGTAACAGAAATCTCAAGGTCAGCTTTAAATTGTTATAAATAGTGATAGTCAAAATTTCCTGGAAATGCTGCTTTCAAGGGCAGAGCGCTGCTGTCAGGAATCAGCTAGACAAATGTACAAGGAGCATTTTCAAATGGCCAACTCAAGTCTGGACATCAGCACTCTTGACTGGACAAGAATACACAGACTGTTATTTTACATTTTTTTAAACGTTGTTTTTAATATACATCATAAGCGAAGGACTCTAAATGAGTGGAGAGCTAGAGGTGTGAAGATGTCAGACTTTGTACAGTCTCTAAAGTCCCAAGTCCCTAAATTGCTCAGCACACTTTGGTTAAAGTATATACCAAGCTGCGTGAGGTCACATGAGGTGATCATTTTGTTCTTTTATACTCTGTCTCGGGAACAGAAATGTCCCTAATGGCTAATTTCCTTGACATTTAGATGGAAGTTTAAACTTCGACTAGCTGTCTTGTCTGAAACATCTAGGAAACAGTCAAAATTTCACACATTTTAATCACTGTCTGAAAAATATTGCTTATATTTGAATAGCCATTTGAAATCATTAATTTAATGTTTCAATAACCAATTCTTATTTTAGATGACACCGAGTGTGAGGAACTTGAACTTTGCACATTATTGTACAACAACTCACTTAACAGAAATTAACAAGTAACATCCCCTATTTTACCATGTTTTGTGTCTATGATAAGTGACTAATGAGCAGCATCAGTGCACTGCCTCTTTATGTCCTCTAAAAACACTTGTTTTTGCCACTGATATACACAGATTAGAATTCTAACGCCACTCAGGACACAGGCAGTCCAGTCATTTTAGTGAGTATAGAGGCAGCATATTTCTTTACATCAAACTGTGTGGATTAAGAGTTTATTTCACCCATACTAAAGTTGGTGATTGTTGAAACAGTGGAAAGACGAACCAAGATGGTTGTTTTGAGTTTTATTTTGCTGCTGCCGACTTTGAATGAAGTTTGTTTTACAATGATAAAAATATGGTTTTAAATGGAGTCTGGTGGGTCTGGTTCAACAAACAGAATCTTTGTCTTTATCCAAGCAGCAACCTCCGAGGCTGAAAAATGAAGCCTATGCGCAAGTGCCAAAAACTGCAGTTCCTTGAATGTCCACTTGAGGCTGAATAAATCCCCATACACCCCTGTATTAAAATGCCCAACTTTACAGCAGAAACATGCTGAAATGTTTACAGCCTTGTGCAAAAAAACGGTTGAGCTGACAGGCACTACTCGACTTTTCACTTTCAGTGCTTGAACCTTTGTGCTGCTGTAAGATGACAAATCATCAAGAACCTTAATAAGTATAAAAACAGATGAGCACCTACCGCACTTCATCATGCCCACTTCATAGCATTTACGTAGCCGGCAGGCCTGGCAGCTTTTACGTCGGTTCTTGTCAATAGTGCATTGATTAGTGGCGGGGCAGATGTAGTCATTGTGTCCTGAGAAGGAGAGACAGAATTAGTTTGATGGACGAGAAGAAAGAATACACTGTGAATAAACATGGACAGAAAGACAGAGTTGCTACCTTGGATACTCCTCTTGAAAAAAGCCTTGCAGCCCTCACAGGACCACACACCATAGTGGTAACCCGAGGCGTAGTCGTGGCACACGGCGCAGAAGTGCATGTCGGCTTTCCCCACTGCGGATGAACACAAGGAGGAGTTCATGCCTTCCTCTCCGTCCCCTGATCTCTTCGCCAGCAGCTTGTCACTGCTGATGATGGAGCTGCAGGAGGAAATACGAACACTGTGAAAAGGGACAACCTGACATTTGGAATTTCATTCACCCATCATTAGTCCTCCAACTCTGCTGCTGAAAATGTCTCCAAAACCACATTTCAGTCATAAAACTTCACAGCGGCTATTACTGAAAGACAATGGGCTTATAAATCTTCAGTCTAAGGCCAGTGCCATCATGACTACCTTCTGGTAGCACAGATAATGACTAAATATAAAGTATAACAGCAACAGAAAAAAGGGATGAATCCTAAATCAGTTGTTGCGTTGAGAGTTAATCCATCCACTGGAATCAGTGAGTGAAAATCATTTGTCTAAGATCGAGCAGGAACACACCTGTCAGCCTACTATTCATCATCACAGTGGGTTTCAACTCCAGAAACTGCTGCTGAGGAGAAAAAAAAAAGAAGAAGAAGAGTTCTGTCTGTGCTGCGGTCAAGACCCCACAAAAACCTCCAAATTTAGAGAGGGGACACAGACTGATACACAAGGACACACAGGCAATGACCCCATGATCTTATGAGGGTTTCTGCGTGAAGTCGTTGCTACATACAGTATAAACCCACATACTGCTGGGAACCAGTTAGTTTGGTTCCGAAAGTCACACAATAACAAAAAATCTAAATGAACAGTTGGCAGTAGACCAGCTCCCATGTGTTGTGAGGTCAAATTACTGTTTCTGTCAGTTGAGTCTGGTGGCTTTGAAGAGAGCATAGCTAACGGCTTTAGTTCCCTGTCGGAAAGGGTTGTCAACAGCAAAGTAAAGCTGTAAAATTAGTAGTAGGCTAACTGCATACTATTTCCAGTGAAATATTACAGTGCGATATCCAACAACAGATGGACACAATACAACTGATTTAAAAGCTTGGGTATGGAAGCATTTTGGCTGTAAGACTGAAGGGAAAGGGGACCTGTACAAGAGCCAGGTGGTACCTCAAGTAAATTCACCTGTTATTTAATTATGGATTACTAAAAATGCAGTATGCCATATCTTAAAAGTAGCAAGTACTCACATAGTAAGAAAATAAGTCATATATAGAAATGAAATTTTTCAGATGCATGACGATGCATCATGGCACCATCATTGGTGCCATTTGGACAAGCGATATATTCAATATTAATAAGCCTTAAATAAACACAAAACAGTGCTCTGTGGCTCTATGCAGCAGCAAGGGTGGGGAGAGAGAGTTGAGAGTTAATAACACATAGCACCGGTCCTGCATCCTAATTTTGACATGAAGTTAAAGACAGGCATAAAGCTTTGTATTTATATTTTCTAAATAAAACCTGAATTTGTAATGTAACCAGTAATATGTCACTGTTGGGAAAATGTTGTGGTACAATGTTTTCCTCTGAAGTAGATGTAGGAATATACCTACACAGTAAGTCAGTAGTACACCGTTGAAGTACATTTTTAAAGTGTTTTGGGGGCCTTTTGTACAATATTTCTGGGTACAACGAGTAAGAACAGCAACATAAGTTAATGTTTTTCATATCTAAATGTCATAAGTAATCTATAGCTGTTTAGATCCAGGTGTGTTGCTCAGGACCAAAGGAAGCACTGTGTCGGGTGTGAAGTATGAGCGGTTCTTGAGAAAGCTACGAGCAGTAACACCACAGGCCAAGCACTCGGCCTGTTCTGAACAGGCATGTTTTGAACGGGCACAACACTAGTATATTAAAAGGAAAACGCTCAGTTCTGAGGCAAAGAAATGTAAAAAATATTGATGATTAGGGTATTCTTGCAATGAACTAATCACAGTCCAAAAGCACACATCAGCAGGATTCATTGAAGACTGCCACGTCACATACTTAGATTGGACTGCACAGCTCTAAAGACTCCAATCCAAATATGAAACCACATTTCTTTTGCCACAAAACTTGCTTTATAACAGGCATGGGACAAAGCTCCTGGAGGCCTGTTTAAGGACAGAAAGCTATGGCCGACCATTTTTCACTCCCACTCAAACACCCTTGTTTATTAATATTTTTTTTTAGTTATTATTACTAAGGATAGACCGATACATCGGTCGGCTGATATATCGGGTCGATATTTGAGTTTTTTACTTGTATCGGCATCGGCTGATACGTGCGTGGGTTCGCGGATTTATTTTTCCCTGGCACTTTTTTTCATTTGAAAGTATGTGGTTAAGTTGAACAAAGCTGTTGAAACCTACTGTGTACAGTAGCTGTTGTTTTATTTATGCTTCAGCTTAAATATTTGTTTATTTTATAAAGACATTACTGGAAGATTTAAGAGCACTGAACTCTTTTTTTTATTTGAATGTATAATAATAATAATAATAATAATAATAATAATAATAATATTCTACCTGTTCTACCTCAACTTTCCATCTTGTTTTAGTATTTTTTACTGTTCAATAAATGTTTCTTATTTTAAACTTGAGACCTGTAATATTTGTTATCATTGTGTCATTTTTTTGATGTAAATTGAGGGAGCAAAAGCATTATCGGCCCCAAATATCGGCTCAAGAAAATTGGCAGTCCATAATCGGTCATCGGCTAAGGGTGATGGAAAAAAATCGGTATCGGCATCGGCCCTAAAAAATCCATATCGGTCTATCCCTAATTATTACTGTACTATTTCCATCCATGGGTCAGTGTCGGTAAACCTACCTGCTGGCGTTGATGCTGTGGGTTTTAGGCTCCAGCCAGGTTGCATGTGGGCTGGGTTCATTGTAGACGAGAGGCTGAGGGCAGCGCAGAGTCAGTGAAGGCATGTTGGGGTGGCTGTGGGAGGGCCAGAAGGCTGATGGGCTAAGGGTGGGGCACAGAGATGACGGGCTGTCAGTGATGGGCGGCCTAGCATAGCTCAGCACAGACGGGCTGTAGAAGGTCAGAGGCCCATGGCCATGGTTGTACTCGTGGCTACTGTTCTTGTACGGTGAGGGGATGCAGATGGTGTGGCTGTCCATGCCCACAGAGGTGCTATACATTCCGGGGGAGCTTGGCCTCTCTGAGGATTTGCTGGAGTCCACCTCCTGTAGCTGAAGCAGCGGTAAGGAGTCAGCATCCAGCTCAGGGGAGGAGGCCATGTCAGGGGGAACCAACTGTATGTGTTCACAGTGATGAGTATGATGAAGCAGCTGGTTCCTTTATTGCATGTTCTAGTGTAGGTGAAACCTGTGGCAGAGGGGGAGACATGCTGTGTTACAGTTACAACATTAATTCCAATTTAAATCAAACATGGCATATTATTATGGCCAAAAACGATGACACAAACGCCCAGTCTCATGTCGCTGTTCCATCGCGTCATGGTCTCTCTACTAATTATGATAAAGGTGAAAGGTTGCATGATTTGGTTACGGTAAAAGGTGGATTTCTGGACATCAAAACACAAATATCATCTCCAAACTCCAAAATCGATGACATTTTATTAACGAAAGTTCACAGGAAACAACAGTTCTGGGTTTAGTATAAGCCATAAAGGAGTTTTCAGTTGACTATCAACTCAGCAGCTCCCACTAAGCACTGATTTGACATTTTGAAATATATCTTCCAGCACAATAAATCCTGTTAGCTGACCAACAAGTGAACCACAAGGAAAACAAAAGTGGGCCATGATATCTTGCCAAGAGCTGATGTGTCCAAAGTTTTCCTGAGCCATGCAGTGAAGCTGCAGGGACAACGATGGTCAGTTGGTCAAACACTTAAAACCACACTGAAATATTGCATCTACTATTGAATGGATTGAATATTTCCTCTGATAAGCAGTGATGCGGTGTAGGCCCTCTATGTCCAAGGCTCTTATTGTGAAAGGTAACAATAGAAGAAGTGAAGCTGATGAGCTGCTGCTGACAATGTGGGAGGCACTACGGTCTGCCATCTTGGTTCAGACTACATGGCCTCCTTGTTATTATTTCATTACCTTTATAAGTACGGGTGCAATGGCAGCTAGCAGCAGACCAGCAGCAAGTAATGGTTGTCCAGTGTTGGAAAACAGTGCTGCAAAACTAGGAGCACTCTAGATGGTCTTTTTCATTGGCACCATTACATATATGGCACAGGAGCAGCCTGGAAGCAACAGAACATTGTGCCTCTTTATGACACCAAAACGCAGTCGAGAGTCACAGCATAATTTTAAATTACACGATTTTGGTACAAACATTTACCCACCAGTGTGGTGGACAGTCTTCTGAGATTTACTCACCAAACAGAAATCAACCTCCACATTTGCACTTGGCAGGTGTTAATTTCAGACCCTGCCCGTCTAGCACCATCAAGTCAAAATTAAAATGTGTCAAGTACTTTGATTTATCACCAGATATCTGTAAAACTAATGGACTTTTTGTTATGAGCTAATTAACAAACACTTGCATCCTAACAGTCTAAGCTTAAACAGTGAAAAAGGTAAACAGACCTGGTAAACATCAGCATGTTAGGACCGTCATTGCCTTCTTTGCTGCTGATCTTAGCCTCTAACATGAAGCACAGCTGTTCCTAACCAAAACAGTAGCATTATGGTAGCAAAACTTGATATACCAAATGCATCAAAATGCTAACCATTTCCTTTTCTACTTTAAGCAACAAACACACACAGCCTGAGAGCACCTTATGTCTTGCAAATACAGGGATAGCCTATGTAGGACAAGATAGCTAAAAGCATGCTTAAAATGCTCTGCCCTCCTGCAGCAGCGACACAGAGCAGAGAGAAGAGAGGCTGCAGACTGGCTGACTGTTGTTGCATTTATATGCTCTTAGATCCATTCATATCAAGTAAAAGTGTACAAAGTTTATCATCCTTATTGACATAAGATTCTCCCTATCAAGATCATTTTATCACCCAACCATAGTCTGATCATTTATGGGAAGGACTCTAAACAGGTAAAGATCCTTTTTGTTTAACCAGAAACAGCCCCAAATCACTATCATCAAACCCACCAGACTTCATTTAAATTAACAGTGGTGTTTTTTTGTACATTAAAGGCTTTTTGCCTTTAATGTACAGGATAGAGTGAAATGGGGGAGAGAGAGCGAGTGGGGGGTGTCAGTCTGTAAATGATATTTTGACATTATCGGCTTACTGGATTACTGTCATGGCGTCCGAAGGTAGTGATGCGTTGAGCAGGTGACAGTCCGCGGTCGTTTTCAAAACACACTTGTGTCACGCACTCCAAAAGAAACTTGTTGAAACTTTAAACAATAATTTATTGTACAAAACGGTAAAAAAAAAAGGTTGACAAAAACGGTTCCATAATTCATATTAAATTCAAAAGGTGACGAAAAAACAGCTACAAGTTAGAGGGAATAGTGATAAAGTGGTAAAACTTGACATTGATCCACAGCCTCAGACGGATGCGCTCAAGCGTGCTGCGCACAAGCTCCGTTGGTAGGCGATACTATATTTTCACATTTTTAACAATGCAATTTAAAAGTTTTGATTTTTATTGATAACCTACATTTACCAACAACAAAAAGACTACATTTAGCACCAAAAAAATATATAAAAAAATTAAAAATAATTAGATAAATAAATAAAAAAACGAATATCGAATACCAAATTTTCATAACGAATATCTACCCATAGAAACATATATTCAAATATCCGAATATTTGGGTACAGCCCTAGTATCATCTGAAAATTCTATTTAGGGAGTTGCTGATATGTGTTGTAGGATAATGTGTAATGTTCATGAGGCATAATGCCACACATTTCAACCAAAACAATGTTTAGTAGGGATGCACCGAATATTCAGTAACCGAATATATTCGGCCGAATATTGCAAAAAAATCCACATTCGGTATTCGGTGGAATAAGTTAAAAGCAAGGCCGAGTAATAGTGGCGTGTTTTGATAATGCAATCAAACAGCGTGCCTTGACGGGCGGAGTACAATGTCAGCAGTGTGGCGATCCGTCCATCACCGCACTCGCATTTGCGACTAAAAATAGTTTTGAGCGAGCAAAATAGGCTTAAATCATTTTTTTTTTTTTTATTTATTTTATTTTGATCCCCCCTATCACTTATTAGGGGTGGGAATCTCTGGGCACCTCACGATTTGATAACGATTACGATTCAGGGGCTACGATTCGATTATAAAACGATTATTAATGCATCTTTAATTTATGTATATTGATGCACTTTTTCACAACACACATTTCTTTTTATCTCACTGAATAAGCATTCAACACTTGGAATTTTTAAAAACAGTGCATTTGTAATAAGAAACAGTTGAATTCATTTCCATTATATTTTATTAAACATATAAATAGAAATGCGTGCAAACTGGAAAGTTTCAACTTCATTGTATGGAACCAAAGGTAACAACAGGTATCTTAAATCACAAGATAAAATGCATAGTTAGAGTAACAGATGATTCGGTGGCGACAGACGTCCACGCATCACATGTAACTGCGATCCTACCTGCCTGCCTTCAACAGTGAGGCCATGACTTCTGTTTTGGTTTGGTTGTAGAGTGTTGGTGAAATAGCGTCGGGATGGGATGGTGTATCTGGGCTCCAGTGTATGCAGCAGTGCTCGAAATCCCTGATTTTCCACGACAGAATAAGGACGCAAATCCTTGGCAATAAATGCTGTGATGGCCTTCGTAATTCGCTTCGCCTTTTCAGATGAGGGTGGCAGCTTTCTAATTGCTTCCTCGATTGTTCTCTGGTCAATAGCGCCACTAGTTGCCGCAGCAACAACAGCCTGCCGTCTCCCTGACTCCTACGTCAGGTGGAATCGAGTTACATGGCTTCTCATGTTTGTTGTGTTGCCAAAGTATTTTATTTTAGCACGACACAGCTTACATATAATGTAGCTCTTGTCCAGTTCGCTTCCGCCGTCAACGTTGTAGAAGGAGCTGTTAAATTAGAAGGAGCTGTTCGGATCTCACGGTGAGGTGGGTGGCGGTCAGCCATGTTTGTTTTCCTCTGTGCGCGTGTCGGCGTGTCTGCTCCAGGTGCGCATCCCAAAGTGTCCCGGAGATGACATGTACCGCGCTTCTTAGTTCCGCATTATTTAGAACCTTCTGTGTTACTCTAATTAACAGATTTAAATAATCGAAATTTGGACATTTGTGAATCGATTCAGATTCGTCCACGTCCGAATCGCGATGCATCTGAGATTCGGAAATTTCCCCCACCCCTATCACTCATTGATGCTGTTTTTGAAGTATGAATAAGTCAATAAGTAATTTATTCCATTGAAATATCATTGATGTATTATAGAAAAGTGATTTATCTTTTTATAAATGACAAAAGGCACATCTGTCTCATTTTCGCTGTGGTATCGTGATACTACTCAGAACCATGATATTTTCATTGGTATCGCACAGTGGGTCCCAATTTTGGTCCCAACACTAATCTGGAGGGGGTTCATCTGCAAAAACAAATGAAAAACTAAACAACGATATTCGGTATTCGGTACTCGGTACTCGGTATTCGGCCAAGCACTTAATATTATTTGGCTTCGGCCACAAATTTTCATTTCGGTGCATCCCTATTGTTTAGTTATTAAAAAATGAAATTAATGATTTCAAATGGTTGTTAAAATACAACCAATATTTTTCAGACAAAAATGTGTGAGATTTTGACTGTTTCCTGGGTGTTTTCTTTGTTTGAGACAAGAAAGCTAGTCCAAGTATTTAATATTTAAACTTCAGGAAAATTAGCATATTGGGAACATCCTTGTTTATGAGAAAGAACATAAAAGCATAAAATGTGAAAACCTTGTGTGACCTCGCGCAGCTTGGAAAATACTGTAACCAAAGTGTGCCAGAGAAGCCATCATCTGGTTAATCAGTGCAAGAATCCGCAGCGCAGCAGCCAGCAGCTCTGCACACTGACCCTCAGACACCACAAAGTCCACAAACACACAGCTGGGATGTCTGGGGTGGCAGCAAGGCTTCTTACTGGTTTTAACTGATCACATCACATCACCTCAATCCTGCCTTCTCTCCACTGGCTCCTTGATTGTTTTAGAATTGATTTCAAGATTTTACTGATCACTTTAGAAGCTACATAGCAGAAATCTTGTCCCAGTATGAGCCAGTTCACAGCCTGAAGGGCCCTCCTGGCTGTTCCCAAGATAGGCTCATCTTTATAGAGTGCCCCTGGAATGAGTGCTAAAACCCTGAAATAAGTTAGCATTTTTACACTCCCAGTTGCCACGTCTTAAAGTCAA